CTTCGCACTCGGGGGTGACGATGCGTGCGATATGGACTCGTCTGCCTTGTGGAGTTATTCCAGGCATGGTACCGATTTCTCTAAAAAGAAAAATTGTATTGTATGAGGATTATAAAACATTATGCAAAAAAAACAGTCTGGTTATAAAAATCTAGAAATCTGCAAGTTTCTTTTTAGGTAATTTTCGATGGTGGTCGAAGAGGTCGAAATTTTATGACAGTGAAAAGCTACAGAAAATTCTGGGATATAAATCTCAACGTTTTGATTCAAAAATATAGCTTACTTATAATCCCGGAGCAAGATTTAAAAATATTCGGTCCAAAAGTCAATTTTTTAAAAAATCCAAAACAGTGTCCAAAAAATATAGCGTGCCGAAGCGAGATTTTAGAAACATATCTAGAAGTTTTTTTTTTTCAAAAATACAAAAAATTACCACATTTCGTTGAGCAATTTTACAAAATAGCAGGAACTTTCGAAGAAACGACAACGAAATTAACCTGCGAAAGTCGAGATCTGCAACAAATCTCTTTTCGAAAGTGGCCGAAATATCGTCAAAAATTTCGTAACTGGGGGACATTTAAAAGTCGAAATTTTGGAAAAGTTGCCTAAAATTCACTAAAAGTTCTGGAATATGGAACTCGATGTGCTGATTAGAAAAATGCAGCGTGTTAAAAGGACCTAATCGCTAAGAAAATATAGGGTAGATGGGTGGGGCTAGTACTTGTGAAAATAAAACTGATTTTGGCAAAGGACGTAATCTCTAAGAAAATAAAGAGCGGGTGGGCGGGGCTAGTACTTGCTAAACTACAATCAGTTGAAGGACCAAATTAAACGAAAACTATAGACAAGAGAAGAAAGTCTTTTCATAAAATATGTTTGTGGTACGCCTACAATCCAAAAATCTTCTTTAAACTAATTTTACCAAAATACAATAAATGCAATTTAAATATTTACTATCAAAAAATCTTTCTACTTCTGGTGATAACTATAGTATAATTTCATATTCCCCTAATACCAAATTAATAATACTAATTAGTAGCCAAAATCAGTCTTATCTTGGCAAGTACTAGGCCCGCCCACGCGCCCCTTATTTTCTTAGAGGCTATATCATCTGCACAATCAGTCTTTGCTTAGAGAGTAGCTAGTTTGTTAAAATTAGTCTTATCTTAAGAAGTACTAGCCCCGCCCACCCGCCCTTTATTTTCTTATAGGGAATGTCTTTTGCCTAAATCAGTCGTATCTCAGCAAGTCCTTCACAAAATCTTTGAAATATTCGCTTTGAAAATAAAATTTTTTAATAATAATTATCATAAAAATGTTCATATTTAATTTGCCAATTCTGGAAGAAAAGTCGAAATGTTAGCAGAAACCAAGCCGAAAATAACTATCTGAAAATCCAGATCTACAGGAAAATGTTTTTGGCTAATGTTCGAAGGTTGTCGAAAAATGGTCAAACAGTAGGAATGCTAAAATATTGAGATTTTGGAAAAGTTGCCAAAAATCCTAAAAAAAAATCTCAGATATCGCTCTTGAACTATAAGAAAAATATTGCGTACTTATGGTGCCGGGCCAAGAATACAATTCTAAAAATCAAGATATGCGCCATTTAAATTTCGAAAATCGTCGAGAATGGGTTGAAATCGATAAGGGAAAAATTTTGAAACATTGTAAAAAATTTCCTTTTTTGAAAAAGTCGTTTAAAAATTCAGTGCTAAACATCTTGACGTGCTGAATCCAAAAATAGAACGTATTTAGCGTCATGAAGCAAAATTTTCAAAATATTCCTTGCGAAATTCGAATTTTTTTAAATTTTGTAATGGAGTTCGTCGACTCTACTTTAACGTTTTCTTGACCTGTCATGGCCCGTAGAGTACGAAAAAATAGGTCTTCGTTCCATCTGTCTGTCTGTCCGTCTGTCCGTTTGTCTGTCTGCCGTTCCGGATTTTTATTAGACAAATAATATGCGAAAGTACTAGGCCGATTGTTGTCAAATTTTGTATTTATATTAGAAATATCATGTAGATGATAAAACTCTAACCCAAATTTGTTTAATCATCCCCACTAGTAATGTGATGGGTCACTTCAAAATTGTACATAGTAAATAGGCTTTAAATTGTATTAAATAACATAGTCCTACACTCGTTTGAGTTTTTACCCGAAACGTCCATTTTTGGGAAAATTTAAATTACAAAACAAAATTTGGCAATTTAATTTTTAATCTGCAAACTGAATACTTTGAAATCTTGCAGATGTTTTAAATTTTTGAAAAAGTCGTTTAGAAATTCAGTGCTAAACATCTTGACGTGGTAATTCCAAAAATATAACATCTTTAGAATCACGGAGCAGTATTTCGGAATATTCGGTTTGAAATTCGAATTTTCTCAACATTTAAAAATCTCGATATTTCACTGGGTGATTGTGAAAAAATGCTTGAACTTATCGAAGAAATGAGGCCCGAAGTGACTTCTGCCACCCGAAATCTACAAGAAAACGTATCTAGTTAACTATCAGATTCATAATTATCGTTAATTGCCATCCGGCCTCCTGTGTATTATGACGTCCGTTAACAGTAATCTTGAACTAAACCAGTCTTCTATGACAACTCCGTGCCAAGCAACAATCGTTTAACTACTTAGAGGTCAAATAAAAAATGTAAGCATAATCTTCTTTTTTCCCAAATTCGTCGTCAACAAGATTGCGAATAAAATTAACACTTACATCGCATTGAGAATTTTTCGTATTTCAGAGCTTGCAATATCATAATCGGTAAAAAATTCAGGAACAACTGCCTTCACAGTGAAATATTTGTCTAATCTCCTCTTGGTTTTTTCCAACGAGAAATTGCAACTTCGAAGAAAATTCATAAGCATCGTATCATCTAAAATCAATCAACGAAAATTCCTTGTGATTATTTTTGATAAAATAAATATTCGTACCCCATGTATCCGGCAAATGTGGCTCTTTTCTGAGCCACTCTTTAATAGCATCCAAGTCTTTATCTCGAGTGTTTACATCTTCGTTCAGCGCTTGACGGATTAGAACTTGCTGGTCAGGAGAGGGCGGCTCAAGGTGGAACATGGCACAAAGATGAAAACACTTTTGCCTTGACTGACTTGAAGATCTCCACTGAAATGCAAACCTGATGCACTTTTCTAACATATAATTTAAAACCAGTTCTTTCCAGACATTCCGGTTCATTTAACGAATTGTTCTTTTTTTTTTAATTTAAAGATTTTAGTGCATTTTTTGTTCCAGTGTTGAGGGTTTGTGTAAAAGATTCCCTCTTCAAGTCGCACAGAGTAATAATATACGTGGAATTAAGTGTATTTTACATTACTCAGAAAATTTTGTGTAACGTCATCGTTTCTGTGAAGCGGGGAATAAAATGGGTCAAATACTACTTGATTAATTTATTGAGACTGGTCACAGACATTAATCAACTGCGAGTGATCTGAAACTTCCATGTAGTCCGAAACAATCTTCATAACATGTAGTCTTTCCAGGTCTTTTCGACTCATCTGCTTTAATGTTCTCCTGCTCTTTAAACCAAGGTTTAAAATCTTCAAAAGCCGCTAGATACTTGTCCCAATGCAGTTTAAGTTTGCCCGCTGTACCTCCGTACTCTTCTGGCAAAAAATCTCTGGAGATATACTCATGAAGGGCAGTTACATCCTTATGAAAATGTAATCTATTAAAAATTTTCTCTTTCATGAACGGCTTTATAAACGCTATTAAACTATCGATAACAAACGGGGGATTAACAATATGTATTTCTTTGATTTTGATAGGGAGCGCATCCATGGTACACATGAAAATTTTTTTCGCGAAAATTGGCGACAATTTAAGTAAGTGTTTAAGCCTGTAATTTTCCCCATCTAAAACGTAGACTTCTCCCGCAGAACCTAGTTTTTCTGATTTCAAGTAGACGTCGGCTACCATAAAAATTACTCTGGCGAAGTAGTTGTAGTCGAAGTCTTCGAAGTCGCTTATGGCGATGCGTGCGATGTGGACTCGTCTGCCTTCTGGAGTCATTTCCGGCATGGTAGCGATTTCTCTTAAAAAAAGTAGTAGTGGTAATATGGTTATCGAAATCTAGAAATTTACAAAAGCTTGAAGAAATGAGGATGAAATAAATTTCTCAAAAAATTGTGGAATATACAATTCGATGTGCTGATTAGAAAAATATTCAACGATTTCCGAAATATTCGTATCCAAATGTGGATTTTTCAAAAATTGTCATGTTTTATTTGGCGACTGTGGAAATGTGGTAGGATTTTTTTAAAGACCTGAAGCCGAAAATGGCTTCTAGAAGTCGGTTATCTACAAAAAAAATCAATTTACGTAAATTTCGAACGTTATGAAAGAAAGAGTCGAAAATTTCATAATGGGGAGTATTAAAAAATTGAGATTTTGGAAAAGTAGGTACCCTAAAAGTTCTCAAAAAATTCTGGATGTGCTGATTACAAAAAATGCTAATAGCCGAAAACAACTTACGGAAATCCAAATCTAAAAGAAAATGTAAAAAAGTCCAGGATCACGGACCAAGATTTTCGAAACATTTAGTTGGAAAATCAATTTTTTTTAAATCTTAAAATCGCCGTAATTCAATTACCCATTCTGAAAAAATAATAGGAATTTTTGACGAAATTAAGACGAAATAACTTCTGGTTTTCCACATCAATTGGAAAATGTGTTTGCCTAATTTTCAAAGGTCGACCACCTTTGAAAATTAGCAGTCAAAAATTTCGTAACAAATATTCAAATATTGAACTTTACAAAAAGTGGTTCCAAACTTCTCAAAAAATTCAGTTATATAAATAGATCTCGAACTGCTGATACCAAAAAATTAACGACTGTTATCAAGATTTTCCAAATATTAGCTTTGATAATTACATTTTTTAACAGCTGAACAAAAAAGATCAACTTAACAATCCAAAATCAAATCTCAATTTCTTCAAAAAACTGTCATCAACAAGAGTGCGAATAAAATTAACACTTACAACTCATTGACAATTTTCTGCATTTCAGGTCTAGCAATATCACACTCGGTAAAAAATTCCGGAACAATTGTTTTCACAGTGAAATATTTGTCTAATCTCCTCTTGGTTTTTTCCAACGAAAAGTTGCAGCTGCGCAGAAAAGTCATAAGCATTGCATCATCTAAAAACGATCAAAAAAATGTTTTGTTACTACTTTTAACAAAATATATATTCGTACCCCATGTATCCGGCAAATGTGGCTCTTTCCTGAGCCACTCTTTAATAGCTTCCAAGTCTTTATCTCGAGTGTTTACATCTTCGTTCAGTGCTTGACGGATAAGAACTTGCTGGTCAGGAGACGGCTGTTCAAGATAGAACATGATACAAAGACGACAACACTTTTGCCTTCACTGACTTGAAGACCTCCACTGAAATGCAAACCTGATGCACTTTTCTAATATATAATTAAAAACCAGTTCTTTCCAGACATTCCGGTTGATTTAATGATGTTCTTTTTTTTAATTTAAAGATTTTACTGCATTTCTTGTTCCAGTGTTGAGGCTTTGTGTAAAAGATTCCCTCTTCAAGTCATACAAAGTAATAATATACGTGGAATTAATGCATTCGGTCTTGATATCGTTGCTTTATCGTACTTTCCTCCAATTGTTGGCAAAAACGTAAAGAAACACCAGGATTCTTTTTCTAACCTTGATTAAACCAGTTTCGCCGAATCTTTCTTCCATTAATGAAACCAACTTTTTGAATCAGGTAGGCATAAAGAACGCAGATTCTTGATCGTAAGATAAGTACTCATTCACCCATCTGACTGAATCAAAACCGGAAAATTTAAACCAAAAACATTGATCGAATTCAAAAAGTGGTGCGATAGTGAAAAACGACCCGACCTGAACCAACACCAACAAATTTTGTTTTTGTCTTGTGCTAATGATCTCCAAGACGCCCAACAAATCGCCCGGAGGTACTTCCAGTGTAAGAGTACCGCTTCTGAACTCTTCGCCAACTTGGATTTGGGGGGAGCAGATTTTCAACAAGGACTCTCTGTTTTGTAAAAAAAAACTAAAGTAAAATTCGACCAAGGAACGTATGATTCCTGGGGAAAATGCAAAATTAAAAAGTCGGGTTTTTTTTGAGAAAAGCACATATGCGGTTACATCTCGCAAGTTAGTGTATTTACGTAAGAACTTGCTGGTCAGGAGAAGGCGGCTCAAGGTGGAACATGACACAAAGATGAAAACACTTTTGTCTTCACTGACTTCGAGGTCTTCACTTAAGTACAAACTTGATGCATTTTTTTCACTATAGAGATTAAAACCAGTTTTATATTGGTTTTCCGGTTGAGTTAACGAATTTTTTTAAATATACAAATTTTTCTCAAGGCATGCATTTCTTGCTCCAATCTAAGGGGGATTTGTGTAACAGATTTTCTCCTCAAGTCATACGTGGAATTAATGCATCTGGTCTTGAGTAGTTGCATTTCTGGATAAGATTCCTGCAATTGTACATACTTTCAAAAGCCAACTTCTAAGAATTTTTTTGACTGAGTGTTGTTGAAGTGTTGATTGATTTTTGCTTTTAATTCTAGATCGAAATTCAATTCTTGTGCTAGAAATTTCCACTTGACTGGAATTTTTATAATCTCTCGATTCCTTGTAAAAAAAACACATTAAAGTAAACACATGTTTAAAACATTATTTAAAGGCCGTGTGACACGATGCTAAATTTATGACAAATTTTAGCGAGATAAATTTTGTGCAAAAAATTGTACCGTGTCATACACAATTTACATGCTAAATTTGTGTGCAAATTTTGGTGAGAAATTATTTAGGACACGTTCTAAATACTGACTAAATTTGTTACGAAAACTGCGCAGTACGATAAGGCGCAACCGGTACGACGCCATGATGAAATCAACATAACCAAACAGTTCTTTTGCCCACAAATTGAGCACCCGTTAATCTCAAAAAATTTTGATATGCAATTGGATCTTCTGGCAACAACTCGGTATTTAACATGTTTAAAATATCTCGTCCTTCTTGTCGCCTTGTTAACCAAGGTCTGCTCCATAGTGAACGTCGTGTTCTTCTTTGAATTTTCCGATTTGTTTTATTGGCATAGCAGCTTAGAACAATACTCGAAGCAGCAATAGTTGTATAAACAAGTATTTCCTCACAATTCATTATAAATGATTAATAAGTAAATAATAAACAAACAAATTGTAGGTTATGTCACAGAGGTTATGTTGAAAAACGCACCTTACCAATCACCATTACCAACACTATTTCTTAAATTCCCGAAAATTTTCACTCACTACGCATGCGCGAATGGTAAATTTACAAGAGAATTTAGTAAGGTGGCATACAGGAGATATATTGTTTAGTTGTAAATTTAGTTACATTTTTTCGAACTAAATTTCGTACAAAAATTTGTCATAAATTTAGCATCGTGTCACACGGCCTTAAAAACTTAATTCGGCCTCCTAATACATTTAAGTCGACAGTACTAGAAAAAAACCATAAATAAAAAAAGACTGGTTATCCTTTGATTTCAATGACAGATTAATCGTCGATTGTTAAAATGCCACGTTAATCTAAACCAAACATAAGGCAATTTGTGAAAACATCTACTACATTTAGCGCAACTGGTCGTACTTTTTTCCAATAGTTGGCAAAAACGCAAAGTACCACTGTGACTCTTTTTCTAACCTCGATTAAACCAGTTTTGGCGAATATTTCTTCCATTAATGAAACCAGTAAGATAAATTGAATAATAAGTCGTACTCGTGTGGGCAATACAACGGAAGTACTCATTTTTGGAAAATTTGAACCAAAAACATTGATCGAATTCAAAAAGTGGTGCGATAGTGAACCAACACCACATGTACTCACATGGTGGCGTGAGTGAGTGTGTTCGCTGTAGTGTCTTTCTTGATTTAAAGTGCTCAATCTATGGTTTTTTCTTGGTTTAATTGTGTTGAATTAGAGGAACTGTCTTGGTTTGGTGTTTCACGTTCGACACAGTGAGTAAGCCTTAACCGTGATTTTTGATCGATTTATCGGGTTGAAATTCGCTACAATCTTATCAGTGGTTCTTCGTCGAGTTCTTATCGTTTTTCTTGTCCCTATCATCTGGTCACCGTTCACATATAATTGAAGCACTACAAACATCAGTTAATAATTTATTTAAAGAAAACTCAGAACTACGCGGTGAAATAACCAAATTAAATAAGTGTGTGAATCTAACCAAAGCTGAGGAGTTCACTAAACCCACAGATCCTGAGCAATTAGATGCTAAAATCTCATATTCTAATATAACGAAGAAAAACTCGCAAAAAACTTTAATAGTGAAACCAAAAGATGATAAGCAGCGTTCGTCTAAAACTAAATTTGAATAACATTAACCCCTTAACTGACATCAATATCGGTAAAATGAGAACGTTAAGAGATGGGGGCATTCTTTTAAAGTGCGGAAACTCAAAAGATAAATTGGCGGAAAAATATGAGGTTCGTGAGGTAAAATCAGCTTGCCCTAAAATTAGAATCTCTGGTATTCCTAATTACATAGATGACAAAGATTTTCTTCTTTATCTTATAAAACAAAATGAATTTTTATTTGACCAAAAATCAGTCTGCAATCTGTTAAAATTCTGCCTTACAAAAAAAAAATAATTCCATTTTCCAGGCCCTTCTTGAAGTTGATTTATTATTTTATTTTACCGATTTCAACTTACGGATTTAAATACTAAACGCAATTCTTATTCATTGAACTTTCTTAGAAATCTAATGTGCTCACATGTTGCCTGTTCCAATCTTCTCAGCAAGCTCTATATCTATTGTCCAAGGCTTTCTTCTCGTGACCATCGTTGTTTCTATCTGCCTACACCGCGTATAGATGTCGAAAAGTACTCGCCTGTTTATCAAATGACCAATAATTTTAATCTGAGTCAGAATGATTTTGATATTTTTGTTAATATTCCATATGGGACAAAGTAGTAATTTTAGCTACTGATTACCTATTATACATTTATTTTCATTTCTTTTGTAAGCCTGTAATTGGGTCTTGCACCCGTTGACTTACGTATATATAATAATAATAATAATAACATCAACAAGTTTTGTTTTTTGCCTTGTGCCATTGGTGATTCTGCAAAAGTGGCAGCAATTTTTAAAAAACTGAAGCTGAAAATGAGTTCTAGAAGCCGGAATCTATAAAAAATCCGTCTAAGTAATTTTCGAAAATTTGTAAAATGAGTCGAAAATTTCATAAGGGAGAGTACTGAAATATAGAAATTTTGGAAAAGTTGCCTAAAATTCTCAAAAATTCTGGAAAATAAACTTGATGTGCTGATTAGAAAAAGACATTTAATATGAGCATATTTTTTGGCACAAACTACACATTTATTACAAATTGATAGAACTCCAAAAACAAATAAGTATATAAATAAATAAATAAGTAGCTAAGAAAAGACAAAAAAAAGCGGGGACACTTTTCTCACATCTATAGGACCTGTTATGGTGGCTAACAAAATCAACAAAGGTCACGATAAGGTTATAAATTATAAGCTGATAAAGTTGAGGTGAAGGTGTAAGTGAATAAGAAACACAAAAACGAGAAAAAACTCGCTGATTAAACTTTCGCAGCATTGATAAGTTTAACCACAAAGAATGTTAATAAAAAAAGAACGCACTAGGAACAACGATAAAACTTTGAAAAACAAAATATGAGAATTTAAAGAAAGACATAAATGATTTAATGCTTTTTAATACAGAGTAAATCCTATCCAAAAACGAAACACATTAAAAAATACAAGTAAAAATATAAAAACACTATAACAAACACAAAATCTCAAATTATCGGAACTGTGAAACCTAAGAATTTTTTTGCCACCGCTCTGACGCCATATACGACGATTATCTGGATAAACAATGCCACTTCTTCAGAAGAGACACTTTCCACATTTCGTGATCAATTTTCTCCAATTCACACTTGAACATATCAATTTCTTGAAGTTGCTAGGTAACTCTTCTTCGATCAATTCTGTTACGCCTTCATCACCAAACAACATATTTAATAAGATCTTCTTGAGACAGGGTCTCTCTAACTCTTTTCCATTCGCTTAAGAGTTGTGGATGTATTTTTTCGTAATCTTCTGGATCGAGCAGCAGTTTTGTTTTTTCCCGCTGAAGGAGTAACTGTTTAAAATTGCTCTTTAAAAGCTTTTCGATGTCATCGGCGATCCGTTTGTCGTCTTCTGAGAGTTTGTCACGGTTAACGTAACTTGAAAACGAAACTTCCTGGTCTGGCTCTTCTTCGATTTGTTCGTCTAAAGAATATGATGGCTAATCCAGTTTTCCTTCCTTTTCATACTTGGTAAATACAGCGTCCCAACGCTTACGTCTTGAGGGACACAGGGCCTGGAGACGCTTAATAAATGCTTCTTTAGTCTTTAGCAGTTCTGTCCATTTGGTTTTAAAAACGAAGGTTTAGTTGAAGTACACAACCTCAAGATACAAACTCTAATATCACACTAAAGACAACTTTAAAAAAATTTCACTGGATATATATTTTAAACAAAAACTTCGAAATTACGAAAGATACAGGTGTTCAAGGTGACGGTTCTCTCAGACCGGGCCCGTATTTCTGTTTTCTAATATAGGCAACCCATAATGCAAGCACCTGGAGGTAGCATGTTTGTAGGTGCTAGGACTAGAAAAATTTTATATGTGAGTGTACAAAATAAATATTGTCTCACATGCACACATAATAAAAATTTAAAAAAAGACACACCAAGTTTATTTTATATGATTCAAAAAACTTTGTGTAACGTCATCGTTTCAGTGGAGGGGGAAAATGGGTCAAGATATTACTCAATTAGTTTATTAAGACTTGTCAGTCAACTGCGAGTGTTCTGAAACTCCCATGTAGTCCGAAAAAATCTTCGTAACTTGTAGCCTTTCCAGGTCTTTTCGACTCGTCTGCTTTAATCTTCTCCTGTTCCTTAAACCAAGGTTTAAAAGCTTCACAAGCCGCTAAATACTTGTCCCAATGCAGTTTAAGTTTGCCCGCGGTACCTCCGTACTCTTCTGGCAAAAGATCTTTGGAGATATACTCATGGAGGGTACTTAAATCCTTATGAAAATGTGCTCTTTTAAAAAATTTTTCTTTCAAGAACGGCTTTACAAGCGCTACGATACTGTCGACAAAAAATGGGGGATTTAGAATATGTACCTCTTTAATTTTGACAGGGAGCACATCTAGGGTACACACCAAAAATTTTTTCGCGAAAATGGGCGAGAATTTAAGGAAGTGTTTAAGCATGCAGTTCTCCCCATCTAAAACGTAGATTTCGCCAGCCGAAGCTTCTTTTTCTATTTTGAAGTAGATGTGGGCTAACATGAAAAGTACTTTGCCGCAGCAGTTGGTGTCGAAGTCTTCGTACTCGGGGGTGGCGATGCGTACGATATGAACTCGTCTGCCTTGTGGAGTTATTCCTGGCATGGTACCGATTTCTCTAAAAAGAAAAATTGTATTGGTGTGAGGATTATAAAACATTATGCAAAAAAAACAGTCTGGTTATGAAAATCTAGAAATCTGCAAGTTTCTTTTTAGGTAATTTTCGATGATGGTCGAAAAAAGGTCGAAATTTTCTGACAGTGAAAAGCGACAGAAAATTCTGAGATATAAATCTCAACCTTCTGATTCAAAAATATAGCTTACTTATGTTCCCGGAGCAAGATTTAGAAATATTCGGTCTAAAAGACAATTTTTTAAAAAATCCAAAACAGTGCCCAAAAAATATAGCGTGCCGAAGCGAGATTTTTGAAACATGCCTAAAATTTTTTTTTCAAAATTACAAAAAATTACCACATTTTTTTGAGCAATTTTACAAAATAGCAGGAACTTTCGAAGAAACGAGGACGAAATTAACTTCCGAAAGTCGGAATCTGCAACAAATCTCTTTTCGAAAGGGGTCGAAATATCGTCAAAAATTTCATAACTGGGGGTATAAAAAGTCGAAATTTTGGAAAAGTTGCCTAAAATTCACTAAAAGTTCTGGAATATGGAACTCGATGTGCTGATTAGAAAACTGTAGCGTGTTAAAAGGACCTAATCGCTAAGAAAATAAAAGGTGGATGGGTGGGACTAGTACTTGTGAAAATAAAACTGTTTTTGGAAAAGGACGTACTCTCTAAGAAAATAAAAGACGGGTGGACGGGGTTAGTCCTTGCTAAACTACAATCAGTTGAAGGACCAAATTAAACGAAAACTATAGGCCAGAGACGAAAGTCTTTTCATAAAATATGTTTGTGGTACGCCTACAATCCAAAAATCTTCTTTAAACTAATTTTACCCAAATACAATAAATGCAATTTAAATATTTACTATCAAAAAATCTTTCTACTTCTGGTGATAACTATAGTATAATTTCATATTCCCTTAATACCAAATTAATAATACTTATTAGCAGCCAAAATCAGTCTTATCTTGAGAAGTACTAGCCCCGCCCACCCGCCCTTTTATTTTCTTATAGGGAATGTCTTTTGCCCAAATCAGTCGTATCTTAGCAAGTCCTGCACAAAATTTTTGAAATATTCGCTTTGAAAATAAAATTTTTTTAATAATAATCATCATAAAAATGTTCATATTTAATTTGGCAATTCTGGAAGAAAAGTTGAAATGTTAGCAGAAATCAAGCCGAAAATTACTATCTGAAAATCCAAATCTACAGGAAAATGGTTTTGGCTAATGTTCGAAGGTTGTTGAAAAATGGTCAAATAGTAGGAATGCTAAAATATTGAGATTTTGGAAAAGTTGTCAAAATTCCTTAAAAAAAATCTGAGATATCGCTCTTGAACTACAAGAAAAATATTGCGTACTTATGGTCCCAGGCCAAGATTATAATCTTAAAAATAAAGATATGCGACATTTAAATTTCGAAAATCGTCGAGAATGAGTTGAAATCGATAAGGGAAAATTTTTGAAACATGGCAAAAAATTTCCTTTTTTTAAAAAGTCGTTTAAAAATTTGGTGCTAAACATCTTGACGTGCTAATTCCAAAAACGTCTTTAGGTTCACGGAGTAGTTTTTTCGGAATATTCGGTTTGAAATTCGAATTTTCTAAAACATTTAAAAATCGCGATATTTCACTGGGTGATTGTGAAAAAATGCTTATCGAAGAAATGAGGCCGAAAGTGACTTCTGTGACCCGAAATCTACAAGAAAACGTATCTAATTAACTATCAGATTCATAATTATGGTTAATTGCCATCCAGTAATCTTGAACGAAACCAGTCTTCTATGCCGAGTCCGTGCCAAACAACAAACGTTTAACTACTCAAAGGTCAAATAAAAAATGTAAGCATAATCTTCTTTTTTCCCAAATTCGTCGTCAACAAGATTGCGAATAAAATTAACACTTACACCATATTGAGAATTTTCCGTATTTCAGGGCTTGCAATATCATAATCGGTAAAAAATTCAGGAACAACTGCCTTCACAGTGAAATATTTGTCTAATCTCCTCTTGGTTTTTTCCAACGAGAAATTGCAACTTCGCAGAAAATTCATAAGCATCGTATCATCTAAAATCGATCAACGAAAATTCCTTGTGATTATTTTTGATAAAATAAATATTCGTACCCCATGTATCCGGCAAATGTGGCTCTTTCCTGAGCCAGTCTTTAATAGCTTCCAAGTCTTTATCTCGAGTGTTTACATCTTCGTTTAGCGCTTGACGGATAAGAACTTGCTGGTCAGGAGTGGGCGGCTCAAGGTGGAACATGGCACAAATATGGAAACACTTTTGCCTCGACTGACTTGAAGATCTCCACTGAAATGCAAACCTGATGCACTTTTCGAATATATCATTTAAAACCAGTTCTTCCCAGACATTCCGGTTCATTTAACGAATTGTTCTTTTTTTTTAATTTAAAGATTTTAGTGCATTTCTTGTTCCAGTGTTGAGGGTTTGTGTAAAAGATTCCCTCTTCAAGTCATACAGAGTAATAATATACGTGGAGTTAAGTGTATTTTACATTACTCAGAAAATGTTGTGTAACGTCGTCGTTTCTGTGGAGGGGGGAATAAAATGGGTCAAATATTACTTGATTAATTTATTGGGACTGGTCTCAGACATTAATCAACTGCGAGTGATCTGAAACTTCCGTGTAGTCCGAAACAATCTTCGTAACATGTAGTCTTTCCAGGTCTTTTCGACTCATCTGCTTTAATGTTCTCCTGCTCCTTCAACCAAGGTTTAAAATCTTCAAAAGCCGCTAGATACTTGTCCCAATGCAGTTTAAGTTTGCCCGCTGTACCTCCGTACTCTTCTGGCAAAAAATCTCTGGAGATATACTCATGAAGTGTAGTTACATCCTTATGAAAATGTAATCTATTAAAAATTTTTTCTTTCATGAACGGCTTTATAAACGCTATTAAACTATCGATAACAAACGGGGGATTAACAATATGTATTTCTTTGATTTTGATAGGGAGCGCATCCATGGTACACACGAAAATTTTTTTCGCGAAAATTGGCGACAATTTAAGTAAGTGTTTAAGCCTGTAATTTTCCCCATCTAAAACGTAGACTTCTCCCGCAGAACCTAGTTTTTCTGATTTCAAGTAGACGTCGGCTACCATAAAAATTACTCTGGCGAAGTAGTTGTAGTCGAAGTCTTCGAAGTCGCTGGTGGCGATGCGTGCGATGTGGACTCGTCTGCCTTCTGGAGTCATTCCTGGCATGGTAGCGATTTCTCTTAAAAAAAATAGTAGTAGTAATATGGTTATCGAAATCTAGAAATTTACAAAAGCTTGAAGAAATGAGGATGAAATAAATTTCTCAAAAAATTGTGGAATATACAGTTCGATGTGCTGATTAGAAAAATATTTAACGATTTCCGAAATATTCGTATTCAAATGTGGATTTTTCAAAAATCGTCATGTTTTGTTTGGCGACTCTGGAAAAGTGGTAGGATTTTTTTAAAGACCTGAAGCTGAAAATGGCTTCTAGAAGTCGGTTATCTACAAAAAAAATCAATTTACGTTAATTTCGAACGTTATGAAAGAAAGAGTGGAAAACTTCATAAAGGAGAGTATTAAAAAATTGAGATTTTTGAAAAGTAGTCTAAAAGTTCTCAAAAAATTCTGGATGTGCTGATTACAAAAAATGCTAATAGCCGAAAACAACCTACGGAAATCCAAATCTAAAAGAAAATGTAAAAAAGTCCAGGATATCAATCTCGTTGATAAGAAAAATATTGCGTATTTAAGATCACGGACCAAGATTTTCGAAACTTTTAGTTGGAAAATCAATTTTCAAGGACTCTCTGTTTTGTAAAAAAAACTGAAGTAAAATTCGACCAAGGAACGCATGATTATATGCAAAATTAAAAAGTCGGGGTTTTTTTGAGAAAAGCACATGTGCGGTTACATCTCGCAAGTTAGTGTATTTACGTAAGAACTTGCTGGTCAGGAGAGGGCGGCTCAAGGTGGAACATGACACAAAGATGAAAACACTTTTGTCTTCACTGACTTCGAGGTCTTCACTTAAGTACAAACCTGATGCATTTTTTTCACTATAGAAATTAAAACCAGTTTTATATTGGTTTTCCGGTTGAGTTAACGAATTTTTTTAAATATACAAATTTTTCTCAAGGCATGCATTTCTTGCTCCAATCTAAGGGGGATTTGTGTAACAGATTTTCTCCTCAAGTCATACGTGGAATTAATGAATCTGGTCTTGAGTAGTTGTATTTCTGGATAAGATTCCTGCAATTGTACATACTTTCAAAAACCAACTTCTAAGAATTTTTTTGACTGAGTGTTGTTGAAGTGTTGATTGATTTTTGCTTTTAATTCTAGATCGAAATTCAATTCTTGTGCTAGAAATTTCCACTTGTCTGGAATTTTTATAATCTCTTGATTCCTCGTAAAAAAACACATTAAAGTAAACACATGTTTAAAACATTATTTAAAAACTTAATTCGGCCTCCTAATACATTTAAGTCGATAGTACTAGAAAAAAACCATAAATAAAAAGAGACTGGTTATCCTTTGATTTCAATGACGGATTAATCGTCGATTGTTAAAATACCACGTTAATCTAAACCAAACATAAGGCAATTTGTGAAAACATCTACTACATTTAGCGCAATTGGTTGTACTTTTTTCCAATAGATAGTTGGCAAAAACGCAAAGTACCACTGTGACTTTTTCTAACCTCGATTAAACTAGTTTTGGCGAATATTTCTTCCATTAATGAAACCAGTAAGATAAATTGAATAATAAGTCGTACTCGTGTGGGCAATACCACGGAAGTACTCATTTTTGGAAAATTTGAACCAAAACCATTGATCGAATTCAAAAAGTGGTGCGATAGTGAACCAACACCACATGTACTCACATGGTGGCGTGAGTGAGTGTGTTCGCTGTAGTGTCTCTCTTGATTTAAAGTGCTCAATCTATGGTTTTTTCTTGGTTTAATTGTGTTAAATTAGAGGAACTGTCTTGGTTTGGTGTTTCACGTTCGACACAGTGAGTAAGCCTTAACCGTGATTTTTGATCGATTTATCGGGTTGAAATTCGCTACAATCTTATCAGTGGTTCTTCGTCGAGTTCTTATCGCTTTTCTTGTCCCTATCATCTGGTCACCGTTCACATATAATTGAAGCACTACAAACATCAGTTAATAATTTATCTAAAGAAAACTCAGAACTACGCGGTGAAATAACCGAATTAAATAAGTGTGTGAATCTAGCCAAAGCTGAGGAGTTCACTAAACCCACAGATCCTGAGGAATTAGATGCTAAAATCTCATATTCGAATATAACGAAGAAAAACTCGCAAAAAACTTTAATAGTGAAACCAAAAGATGATAAGCAGCGTTCGTCTAAAACTAAATTTGATGTTATGAATAACATTAACCCCTTAACTGACATCAATATCGGTAAAGTGAGAACGTTAAGAGACGGGGGCATTCTTTCAAAGTGCGAAAACTCTAGTAATTTTAACCAGATTGCAAAAGATAAATTGGCGGAAAAATATGAGGTTCGTGAGGTAAAATCAGCTTGCCCTAAAATTAGAATCTCTGGTATTCCTAATTACATAGATGACAAAGATTTTCTTCCTTATCTTAGAAAACAAAATGAATTTTAAAATTCTGCCCTACAAAAAAAAATCATTCCATTTTCCAGGCCCTTCTTGAAGTTGATTTATCGACTTACAAAAGAGCAATAAGCGTTGGTCATTGTTTAGTTGGTCTGAACGGATGCAACATGCATGCATGTTTGCGAATCTTATACTTCTCTTATGTGCGCTCTAGGTTGGAATATGCAAGTATAGTATGGTCCCCTTTCTGTCAAAACCACACTGACGCTCTAGAAACAATTCAGCGCGGCTTTCTTAAATATTTAGCATATAGAGTAGATGGTACATATCCAATAAGAGGTACACATCAAATCTCTCTTTTAAACCGATTTCAACTTACGGATCTAAACACTAGACGCATTTCTTATTCATTGAACTTTCTTAGAAATCTAATGTGCTCACAAGTTGACTGTTCCAATCTTCTCAGCAAGCTCTATATCTATTGTCCAGGACTTTCTTCTCATGACCATCGTTGTTTCTATCTGCCTGCACCACGTATAGATGTCGAAAAGTACTCGCCTGTTTATCAAATGACCAATAATTTTAATCTGAGTTAGAATGATTTTGATATTTTTGTTAATGTTTCCTCTGGGATAAAGTAGTAATTTTAGCTACTGATTACCTATTATACATTTATTCTCATTTCTTTTGTAAGTCTGTAATTGGGTCTTGCACCCGTTGACTTACGTATATATGATAATAATAATAATAACACCAACAAGTTTTGTTTTTTGCCTTGTGCCATTGGTGATTCTGCAAAAGTGGCAGCAATTTTCAAAAAACTGAAGCTGAAAATGAGTTCTAGAAGCCGGAATCTATAAAAAATTCGTCTAAGTAATTTTCGAAAATTTGTAAAATGAGTCGAAAATTTCATAAGGGAGAGTACTGAAATATAAAAATTTTGGAAAAGTTGCCTACAATTCTCAAAAATTCTGGAAAATAAACTTGATGTGCTGATTAGAAAAAGACATTTAATATGAGCATATTTTTTGGCACAAACTACACATTTATTACAAATTGATAGAACTCCAAAAACAAATAAGTATATAAATAAATAAATAAGTAGCTAAGGAAAGGCAAAAAAAGCGGAGACACTTTTCTCACATCTATAGGACCTGTTATGGTGGCTAACAAAATCAACAAAGGTCACGATAAGGTTATAAATTATAAGCTGATAAAGTTGAGGTGAAGGTGTAAGTGAATAAGAAACACAAAAACGAGAAAAAACTCGCTGATTAAACTTTCGCAGCATTGATAAGTTTAACCACAAAGAATGTTAATAAAAAAAGAACGCACTGGGAACAACGATAAAACTTTGAAAAACAAAATATGAGAATTTAAAGAAAGACATAAATGATTTAATGCTTTTTAATACAGAGTAAATCCTATCCAAAAACGAAACACATTAAAAAATACAAGTAAAAATATAAAAACACTATAACAAACACAAAATCTCAAATTATCGGAACTGTGAAACCTAAGAATTTTTTTGCCACCGCTCTGACGCCATATACCACGATTATCTGGATAAACAATGCCACTCCTTCAGAAGAGACACTTTCCACATTTCGTGATCAATTTTCTCCAATTCACACTTGAACATATCAATTTCTTGAAGTTGCTAGGTAACTCTTCTTCGATCAATTCTGTTACGCCTTCATCACCAAACAACATATTTAATAAGATCTTCTTGAGACAGGGTCTCTCTAACTCTTTTCCATTCACTTAAGAGTTGTGGATGTATTTTTTCGTAATCTTCTGGATCGAGCAGCAGTTTTGTTTTTTCCCGCTGAAGGAGTAACTGTTTAAAATTGCTCTTTAAAAGCTTTTCGATGTCATCGGCGATACGTTTGTCGTCTTCTGAGAGTTTGTCACGGTTAACGTAACTTGAAAACGAAACTTCCTGGTCTGGCTCTTCTTCGATTAGTTCGTCTAAAGAATATGATGGCTAATCCAGTTTTCCTTCTTTTTCATACTTGGTAAATACAGCGTCCCAACGCTTACGTCTTGAGGGACACAGGGCCTGGAGACGCTTAATAAATGCTTCTTTAGCAGTTCTGTCCATTTGGTTTTAAAAACGAAGGTTTAGTTGAAGTACACAACCTCAAGATACAAACTCTAATATCACACTAAAGACAACTTTAAAAAAATTTCACTGGATATATATTTTAAACAAAAACTTCGAAACTACGAAAGATACAGGTGTTCAAGGTGAAGGTTCTCTCAGACCGGGCCCGAATTTCTGTTTTCTAAATTAGGCAACCCATAATCCAAACATCTGGATGTAGCATATTTGTAGGTGCTAGGACCAGAAAAATTTGATATGTGAGTGTACGAAATAAATATTGTCTCACATGCACACGTAATAAATATTTTAAAAAAGACACACCAAGTTTATTTTATATGACTCAAAAAACTTTGTGTAATGTCATGGTTTCTGTGGAGGGGGAAAATGGATCAAGATATTATTCAATTAGTTTATTAAGACTTGTCAGTCAACTGCGAGTGTTCTGAAACTCCCATGTAGTCCGAAAAAGTCTTCGTAACTTGTAGCCTTTCCAGGTCTTTTCGACTCGTCTGCTTTAATCTTCTCCTGTTCCTTAAACCAAGGTTTAAAATCTTCACAAGCCGCTAAATACTTGTCCCAATGCAGTTTAAGTTTGCCCGCGGTACCTTCGTACTCTTCTGGCAAAAGATCTTTGGAGATATACTCATGGAGGGTACTTAAATCCTTATGAAAATGTAGTCTTTTTAAAATTTTTTCTTTCAAGAACGGCTTTACAAGCGCTAGTATACTGTCGACAAAAGATGGGGCATTTATAACATGTACTTCTTTGATTTTGACAGGGAGCACATCGATGGTAGACACCAAAATTTTTTTCACAAAAATGGGCGAGAATTTAAATAAGTGTTTAAGCATGCAGTTTTCCCCATCTAAAACGTAGACTTCGCCAGCAGAACCTGCTTTTTCTATTTTGAGGCGGACGTCGGCTAACATAAAAAGTACTTTGCCGCAGTAGTTGGTGTCGAAGTCTTCGTACTCGGGGGTGACGATGCGTGCGATATGGACTCGTCTGCCTTGTGGAGTTATTCCAGGCATGGTACCGACTTCCCTAAAAAGGAAAATTGTATTGGTATGACGATTAAGAAACATTATGCAAAAAAATTTACTGGTTATGGAAATCTACAAATCTACAAGTTTCTTTTTAGGTAATTTCCAATGGTGGTCGGAAAAAGGTCGAAATTTTCTGACAGTGAAAAGCGACAGAAAATTCTGGGATATAAATCTCAACGTTGTGATTCAAAAATATAGCTTACTTATAATCCCGGAGCAAGATTTAGAAATATTCGGTCCAAAAGTCAATTTTTTAAAAAATCCAAAACAGTGTCCAAAAAATATAGCGTGCCGAAGCGAGATTTTTGAAACATGTCTAAAAATTTTTTTTTTTTTCAAAAATACAAAAAATGACCACATTTCTTTGAGCAATTTTACAAAATAGCAGGAACTTTCGAAGAAACGAGGACGAAATTAACTTCCGAAAGTCGGAATCTGCAACAAATCTCTTTTCGAAAGTGGTCGAAATATCGTCAAAAATTTCATAACTGGGGGTATAAAAAGTCGAAATTTTGGAAAAGTTGCCTAAAATTCACTAAAAGTTCTGGAATATGGAACTCGATGTGCTGATTAGAAAACTGTAGCGTGTTAAAAGGACCTAATCGCTAAGAAAATAAAAGGTGGATGGGTGGGACTAGTACTTGTGAAAATAAAACTGTTTTTGGAAAAGAATGTACTCTCTAAGAAAATAAAAGGCGGCTGGACGGGGTTAGTCCTTGCTAAACTACAATCAGTTGAAGGACCAAATTAAACGAAAACTATAGGCCGGAGACGAAAGTCTTTTCATAAAATATGTTTGTGGTACGCCTACAATTCAAAAATCTTCTTTAAACTAATTTTACCCAAATACAATAAATGCAATTTAAATATTTACTATCAAAAAATCTTTCTACTTCTGGTGATAACTATAGTATAATTTCATATTCCCCTAATACCAAATTAATAATACTTATTAGTAGCCAAAATCAGTCTTATCTTGGCAATTACTAGGCCCGCCCACCCGCCCGTTATTTTCTTAGAGGGTATGTCATCTGCACAATCAGTCTTATCTTAGGGACTAGTTCGTTTGTTAAAATTAGTCGTATCTTGGGACGGTACTAGCCCCGCCCACCCGCCCTTTATTTTCTTATAGGGAATGTCTTTTGCCTTAATCAGTCGTATCTTAGCAAGTCCTGCACAAAATTTTTGAAATATTCGCTTTGAAAATAAAATTTTTTAATAAAAATTATCATAAAAATGTTGATATTTAATTTGGCGATTCTGGAAGAAAAGTTGAAATGTTAGCAGAAATCAAGCAGAAAATAACTATCTGAAAATCCAAATCTACAGGAAAATGTTTTTGGCTAATGTTCGAAGGTTGTCGAAAAATGGTCAAACAGTAAGAATGCTAAAATATTGAGATTTTGGAAAAGTTGTCAAAAAACCTAAAAAAAAAATCCGAGATATCGCTCTTGAACTACTAGAAAAATATTGCGTACTTATGGTCCCGGGCGAAGATTATAATCCTAAAAATCAAGATATGCGACATTTAAATTTCGAAAATCGTCGAGAATGGGTTAAAATTGATAAGGGAAAAATTTTGAAACATTGTAAAAAATTTCCTTTTTTGAAAAAGTCGTTTAAAAATTCGGTGCTAAACATCTTGACGTGCTGAATCCAAAAATATAACGTATTTAGCGTCATGAAGCAAATTTTTCAAAATATTCCTTGCGAAATTCGAATTGTTTTTAATTTTGTAATGGAGTTCGTCGGCCGACTCTCTACTTTAACGTTTTCTTGACCTTTCATGGCCCCTAGAGTACGAAGAAATAGGTCTTCGTTCCGTCTGTCTGTCTGTCCGTCTGTCCGTTTGTCTGTCTGCCGTTCCGGATTTTTATTAGACAAATAATATGCGAAAGTACTAGGCCGATTGTTGTAAAATTTTGTATTTATATTAGAAATGTCATGTAGATGATAAAACCCAAATTTGTTTAATCATCCCCACCAGTAATGTGATGACGTCACTTCAAAATTGTACATAGTAAATAGGCTTTAAATTGTATTAAATAACATAGTCCTACACTCGTTTGAGTTTTTACCCAAAACGTCCATTTTTGGAAAATATTTAAATTACAAAACAAAATTTGGCAATTTAATTTTTAATCTGCAAACTGAATACTTTGAAATCTTGCAGATGTTTTAAATTTATGGTAAGCATAACAATTTTTAATTAAAATATATTTTCTTATCCCCTCCAAAAAATTGAGGACGTCATCTCAAAATTTTGTCGTACAAATATTATATATATTACATATATATACTTTATCACTGCATTCATTATTTTTAGATTTTCTTAAACAGGGTGACTCAAAGAAATTAATCACTGAGTTGTTACAAAATAAACATCCAATCAGGTTTAGGAATTTAACTCGTTACTGTGGAAATGTGCAATTTGCACTTGTACTTGGCAAGATACGACTGATTTTGCCAAATTACATACCTTGTAAGAAAATGAAGGGCGGGTGGGCGGGGCTAATTTTTGCCCAGATAAGACTGATTTTGCGAAATGATCTACTTTCAAGGAAAATAAAGGCGAGTGGACGGGGCTAAGATAAAACTAATTTTGTTAAAAGATTTACTCTCTAAGAGAATAAAGAGCCGGTGGGCGGGACTAGTACTTGCCAAGATAAGACTAAATTTGCCAAATGACATCATGCAAGAAAATAAAGGGCGGGTGGGAGGGGCTAGTACTTGCTAAGATAAGAGTGATTTTATCAAATGACATACCTTCTAAGAAAATAAAGCCGCCCTCTATTTCCTTGGAAGGTCTGTCATTTGCCAAAATCAGTCTTATCTTATCAAGTTCTAGCCCCGCCCACCCGCCCTCTATTTCCTTGGAAGGTATGTCATTTGCCAAAATCAGTCTGATCTTAACAAGTGTTAGCCCCGCCCACCCACCCTCTGTTTTCTGAGAAGATATGTGATCTGCCAAAATAAGTTTTACCTTGGCAAGTACAAGCCCCGCCCACCCACCCCTATTTTCTCAGAGGATATGTCATCTGCCAAAATGAGACTTATCTTAGCAAGTACTAGCAAGTACTACTCTCTGAGAAAATAAAGGGTGGGTGGGCGGGGCTAGTTCTTGGTAATATAAGTCTTGTTTGGCCAATGACATATCCTCCGTGAAAATAGGGAGCGGGTGGGAGGAGCTAGTACTTGGTAAAATAAGACGGATTTTGGCAAATGACATACCTTCTAAGAAAGTAAAGGGTGGGTGGGCGGGGCTAGTACTTGCTAAGATTTGACTTAGTTCGGCAAATTAGGTTATAGATCTTGACGTACTGATTCCAAAAATGTAACGTCTTTAGGGTCACGGAGTAACATTTTCGAAATATTCGGTTTGAAATTCGAAATTTTCTGAAACATTTAAAAATCGCGATATTTCACTGAGTTATTGTGAAAAAATGCTTGAACTTATCGAAGAAATGAGGACGGAAGTGACTTTTCTGACCCGAAATCTGCAAGAAAACGTATCTAGTTAACTATCAGATAATTATTATAGTTAATTGCCATCCGGCCACCTGTGAATTATGACGTCGGTTAACAGTAATCTTGAACTAAACCAGTCTTCTATGACGACATCGTGCCAAACAACAAACTCAAAAGTCAACTAAAAAATGTATAATCTTCTTTTTTTCCCAAATTCGTCGTCAACAAGAGTGCGAAAAAAATTAACACTTACACCACATCGAGAATTTTCCGCATTTCAGGGCTTGCAACATCATAATCGGTAAAAAATTCAGGAACAACTGCCTTCACAGTGAAATATTTGTCTAATCTCCTCTTGGTTTTTTCCAACGAGAAATTGCAACTTCGCAGAAAATTCATAAGCATCGTATCATCTAAAAACGATCAACGAAATTCCGAGTGACTATTTTTGATAAAATAAATATTCGTACCCCATGTATCCGGCAAATGTGGTTCTTTCCTGAGCCACTCTTTAATAGCTTCCAAGTCTTTATCTCGAGTGTTTACATCTTCGTTCAGCGCTTGACGGATGAGAGCTTGCTGGTCCGGAGAAGGCTGGTCAAGATCGAACATGGCACAAAGACGAAAACACTTTTGCCTTCACCGACGTCGAGATCTCCACTGAAGTACAAACCTATGCATATTTTTAACCATATACTCTAAAACCAGTTTTGTCTAGGCTTTCCGGTTCAGTAAACGAATTATTTTTTTTTTATTTAAAGATTCTTCTCAAGCAGGATTGCGTACTAGATTTCAAGTGCAATGCAAATTAATATTCGCAATGAGTACCTGTTTTATATTTTATGCAGTTCCATTCCGACCTCGAGTTCTTATTAATAACAATTCCATTTTTGAGAGATAGAACTTTGCTTATTAAATCGTACGACCGCAAAATTTTTTCTTAACTGAGTGTGAGGCTACATTCACAATCGTTGGCAAAAACGGAAAGTACCACCGTGACTTTTTTCCCAGCCTCAATTAAACCAGTTCCACCGAATTTCTCTTCTATCAAAGAAACCGACTTCTTGAACCAGGTACGCATAGACAACGCAGATTGTTTATCGTAACACAGTCTGAAGGACAATTCGTACTCGTGCGTACAATGTCACCGAAGTACTCATTCAACGCACGCGACTTAATCAAAACCGGAAAATTTAAACCGGAAACATTGCTCGAATTCAAAAAGTGGTGCGATTGTGAAAAACTACCCGACCTGAACCAACAGCAACAAATTTTGTTTTTGTCGTGTGCCGATAATCTCCAAGAAGCCCAACAAGTCGCCAGGAGGTACTTCCAGTGTAGGAGTGCCGCTCCTGAACTCTTCGCCAACTTGGATTTAGAGGGAGCAGATTGTCAACAAGGGTTCTCCGTTTTGTAAAAAAAAACTTAGTAAGATTCGAAATTCTCGTTTTAATTTTTTTTTGTAGCGATATTAGTCTGGCACCTTGTAGAACGGCGGATAATGTTTTGGTAGCTTATGGAAAATTAAACGACACGTCCTACTCCAATTTTCATCTAGCGCAACTTTTAAAATTGACTTTGATGACTTTGGATTGCGCTTTGAACGACGGACCGGCAGATGGATCGATTGTATTAATCGACATGAAAGGGATTGGGTTTATGCATCTAACGAGAGCGAGGTTGGGTGTTATCCAGAAATTCTTCCAGTTTGTTCAAGAAGCGCTGCAAGTTAGAATCAAGTCGATTCACATTTTGAACGCTGTGAATATTCTCAATAACATACTTTTCATTATAAAGCCGTTTATTAATAGGGAACTATACGAAGCGGTACTATTTTTTTTATCGAAGTGTTTTTTTTTTTTTAATTTGTTGGTTATAGATACACTGCCACACTCCTGAAAAAACGCACGAAATTTTTGAGTTTGTATCTAAGGACTTTGTACCAAAGGACTATGGTGGAAATTTACCTTCGCAGCATTATTTAGCAGAAAAAACCCACGAAAAAATGTTAAAACTACAGCCGCTGTTTACCGATTTAGAAAAACAAACAAAAATGTACCATGTATTAAAAAAATAAAAACCACGTTAGGCTAGTTTCACTAGAAAAGTTTTATTATCGACTTTCCTTTCTTTTAGAAGTTTTCGAATTCTCCGAGATTCCCCAAGATACCAAAATATGTTAATTTTGTTTTCCAATTATTCGGGATTTTTTTATTTTTTCAGTTCTTTGAATTATTAGTATTTTCCGCATTCTTTCAATTTTTATGTTCTATTATTTCGGATTCTGTCAGATTCTCTCAAATTATTTTCAAAATTTTTGGAATTCATTCGGATTCTTCACGATGCTGAAATTTGTTAATTTAGTTTTCGGATTCTGTCAGATTTTCTCAGACTCTCTCGAATTCTCTTGTATTCCCACGGTTTCTTCCGAATTTGTCCAATTTTTTCGGTTCATTTGCATATTATTTCGGATTTTGTCAGATTCTCTTAAATTATTTTGGATTTTCTCAGCTTTTTCCACATTCTATCATATTTTTGAAAACTTTGACAACTCTAATAAAACTCGACTAAAGAGAATGAAAAAAATAAAACCAAAAAAGCAACAAGATTAGAAAGAACTTTAAATTATATGTAATGAGTAAAAATTATTACATTACTGCTTTTATTATTGTAACAACGAGATACCTTCGGGTGCAGGTTAAGCGCGCAAAGCCGTCTAGTCCACTTTAGGGTTAAAATCCGATAAAAGAGCTTTTGGTGAACGCTTTCATTTCTGCGACGTGTGTGGAATAAAATTTGTCGGCGGTTTGAGAACTACTGGCCAATCGATCATTAATTTCAGACGTAATTCAGGTGTTCGTCTGTATGGCATGTATTTTGAAATGTAATTAGTGTCGACATTTAGTTTTATTACGTGTTGTCGTTGACAGGCCACGTTTCTCATGCTGAGACGTTTTTCTGATATCGCAGTTCTTCAAACGTCTAATTTCGTCTCCGGCTGCGTGGGCCGGATTAGTCGGATTTCCATGGGGACAGGCTGATTTTAAATTGTTGGAGTTTCCACTGGGACAGTCTCGCCAAATTATTCTTGGAAAAACTGTGACAATTAATAGCGGATTCTAAGATAAATGCCTATTTTGTTCTAAAATCTGAATTTTCTACACCCCTAAGCACATTTAATATTTCGTTTTCTTTCGGAAATTGTCGGATCTCGATTCAATGTTTATTCTTTCGGTTTCTGATGGATTCTCCCGAACCATTTTTGAATTCTCCAGAAAGCTGAAATGTGGTAATTAAATTTTCGGATTCTTTCAAAATTCTTTCATTTCTTTGGATTTTTGTGTTTTTTCTCTTCTTTGGGTTACTTGGTTTCTCTCAAATTGTCTTAGATTTTCTCGGATTCTTTCGCTTTATTCCGGATTCTCTCACATTCTGTCAGATTCTTTTTGAATTCTTCAGGATTCTACTGATTTCTCTCGGTTGTCTGGGTTTTTTCGTATTCTTCTGGATTCTCTCAATTCCTTTAGGAATTTAGCCCGATTCTCTCACATTCTGTCCTCAATATTCTCTTGGATTCTTATGGATTCTTACGGAATCTTATAGATTTTTATAGATTTTTCAGGATTCTCTCGGTTTCTTTCAGATTCTCCGGGATTTTTTCTTATTCTCCCAGAATTTAGCCAAATTTTTTCGTATCCTTTTGCATTATTTAGGATTCTTCGGGATTCTTTCCAATTTTCTTGGAATTTCGTTGGATTCTCTCGGATTTTCTCGAACTCTTTTAGATCCTTTTAGATTATTCCCTATTCTCTCACATTCTATAGGATTCTTTTTGACTTTTTCAGAATTCTCTTGGTTTCTCTTGGCTCCCTCATATTCCTTGGGTTTTTCATATTCTCTTTGATTCTTACGGACTTCTTTCTTCCGGATTCTTCCAAATCTTCTCCTATCTTTTCGGAATTTTGCCGGATTCTTTTGTAATATCTCGGATTCTTTCGAATTCTTCCGGAGTCTCTTCTATCCTCTCGGAGTATGGCAGAATTCTCTCATATTTTCTTGAATTAATCGAGATGCTTTCCGTTCTCTTAGAATTTAGTTGAATTCTCTCGTATTTTCTCAATTTCTGTCGGATTTTCTCGAATTCTTTTGGGTTCTTTCACATTCTGTTGGATTCTTATGGATTTTCCGGATTCTCTCCGTTCCTGTAGGAATTTAGCCCGATTCTCTCGTATTCTCTGGCATTCTTTCAAATTTCGTCATATTTTCTCAGATTCTCCAACACTCTCTTGGATTCTTATTCTCTCGATTTCTTTCCGATTCTTCCGGATTTTTTCTTATCCTCCCAGAATTTAGCCAAATTCTCTCGTATCCTTTTGCATTATTTTGGATTCTTCAGGATTCTTTCCAATTCTCTTGGAATTTCGTTGGATTCTCTCGGATTTTCTCGGACTCTTTTAGATCCTTTTAGATTATTCCCTATTCTCTCACATTCTATAGGATTCATTTTGAGTTCTTCAGAATTCTCTTGGGTTCTCTTGGCTCCCTCATATTTCCTGGGTTTTTCATATTCTCTTTGATTCTTATGGACTTCTTTCTTCCGGATTCTTCCAAATCTTCTCCTATCTTTTCGGAATTTTTCCGGATTCTTTGGTAATATCTCGGATTCTTTCGAATTCTTCCGAAGTCTCTTCTATCCTCTCGGAATATGGCAGAATTCTCTCATATTTTCTTGAATTAATCGAGATGGTTTCCGTTCTCTTAGAATTTATTTGGATTCTCTCGTATTTTCTCAATTTCTGTCCGATTTTCTCGGATTCTTTTGGGTTCTTTCACATTCTGTTGGATTCTTATGAATTTTTCCGGATTCTCTCCGTTCCTGTAGGAATTTAGCCCGATCTTCTCGTATTCTCTGGCATTCTTTCGAATTTCGTCATATTTTCTCAAACTCTCCAACATTCTCTTGGATTCTTATTCTATCGGTTTCTTTTCGATTCTTCCGGATTTTTTCTTATCCTCCCAGAATTTAGCCAAATTATCTCCTATCTTTTTGCATTATTTTGGATTCTTCAGGATTCTTTCCAATTCTCTTGGAATTTCGTTGGATTCTCTCGGATTTTCTCGGACTCTTTAAGATTGTTCCCCATTCTCTCACATTCTATAGGATTCTTTTTGAGTTCTTCAGAATTCTCTTGGGTTCTCTCGGCTGCCTCATATTCTGTCGGTTTTTTCAGATTCTCTTAGATTTCTCCCACATTCTCTTTCGGTTTATTTCGGATTGTTCCGGATTTTTTCTTATCCTCCAGGAATTTAGCCAGATTCTCCAGTATTCTTTTGTATTATTTTGGATTCTTCAAGATTTTCTCCAATCCTCTTGGAATTTCGTTAGATTCTCTCGGATTCTCTCCATTATTAAGATTATTCCCTATTCTCTCACATTCTATTGGGTTCTTTTTGAGTTCTTCAGAATTCTTTTGGGTTCTCTCAGCTGCCTCATATTCTCTCCGTTTTTTCAGATTCTCTTAGAATATTCCAGTTTCTCCCACATTCCTTTGGATCTCTATGGATTCTTTCAGACTTTCAAGATTTCTTCTGGATTTTCCGGACTTTCGCCTATCTTCACGGAATTTTGCCAGATTCTTTTATATTCTTCCGGAATCTCTCCTGTCCTCTCGAATATGATCGAATTCTCCCGTATTTTCTTGAATTATTCGGAATTCTTTCCGTTCTTCTTAAAATTCTGTCGAATTTTCTCCGATTCTTTTGGATACTTTCATATCCTGTTGGATTCTTATAGATTTTTCCGGATTCTCTCCGTTCCTCTTGAAACTTAGCCCAATTCTCTCGTATTCTCTGGCATTCTTTTGAATTCTGTCAGATCTTTTCAGATTCTTCAACGTTCTCTTGGATTCTTATTCTTTCGTTTTCTTTCGGATTCTTACGGATTTTTTCTTATCCTCCCCGAAATTTGTCAGATTTTCTAGTATCTTTTTGCATGATTTTGGATTCTTCAGGACTATTGCCAATCCTCTTGGAATTTCGTTGAATTCTGTCAGATTTTCTTGGTCTCTTTAAGATTATTCCCCATTGTCTCAAATTCTATCGGATTCTTTTTGACTTCTTCAAAATTATCTAGGGTTCTCTCGGTTGCCTCATATTCTCTCGGTTTTTTCAGAATTTCGTTGGATTCTGTAGCATTTTCTCGGACTCTTTAAGATTGTTCCCCATTCTCTCACATTCTATAGGATTCTTTTTGATTTCTTCAGAATTCTCTTGGGTTCTCTCGGCTGCCTCATATTCTGTCGGTTTTTTCAGATTCTCTTAGATTATTCCGGTTTCTCCCACATTCTCTTTCGGTTTATTTCGGATTGTTCCGGATTTTTTCTTATCCTCCAGGAATTTAGCCAGATTCTCCAGTATTCTTTTGTATTATTTTAGATTCTTCAAGATTTTTTCCAATCTTCTTGGAATTTCGTTGGATTCTCTCGGATTTTCTCGGACTCTTCATGATTATTCCCTATTTTCTCACATTATATAGGATTCTTTTTGACTTCTTCAGAATTCTCTTCGGTTCTCCCAGCTGCCTCATATTCTCTCCGTTTTTTCAGATTCTCTTGGAATATTCCAGTTTCTCGCATATTCTCTTGGATTCTTATAGATTCTTCCGGATTCTCCCGATTTCTTCCGGATTCTTCGGATCTTCTCCTATTTTTCGGAATTTTGTCGGATTCTTTTGAATTGTCTCGGATACTTTCTGTTTCTTCTGGAGTCTCTCCTATCCTCTCGAAATATGACCAAATTCTCTCATTTTCGCTTGAATTATTCGGGATTCTTTCCTTTCCTCTTAGAATTTACTTCGATTATCACATATTCTCTCGTATTTTCTCAGATTCTGTCGTATTTTCTCGGATTCTTTTGTATTCTTTCAGATTCTGTTGGATTCTTATAGATTTTTCCGGATTCTCTCCATTATTGTAGAAATTTAGCCCGATTCTGTCGCATCCTCTGGCATTCTTTCGAATTCCGTCAGATTTTCTCAAATTCTCCTACATTCTCTTGGATTCTTATTCTTTCGGTTTT